TGAATTTTATATTAGAGAATTTTGTTTATAAAATAGAAAATGTGACACCCCAAAATATAAAAACCACATCATATAATTTAGGAGTCAACATCCCCAATAAAGAGAACAGTTAGAATATGACTTGCAATTTGAACACGAAATTACAGTCATCTAAAACATAATACATAGTTAAACTTAAACAATTTAGAGTATTTAATATCCAAAGGTCTAAATATCTAAATCCTAAGTAGATTGTGCATCAGCATCATTCTCCTCTAGCTCTTGCTCCAAAGGTATCTTCTCACCAACATCTGCTCCCATCCAAGAGGATGATCATCGCAAAGAAAACATACACAAGCAACACACAACACAGAAGCAAGGGTGAGCTAAATAAACAAGCAATAATCATACTATTCAATCACTTAATAATCATCATGCTTAGTACATATAAAACAGTTAATACATAACACTTTAAACCATGACTCCAACACTCACGCGACTCAATCCGGATTAGTATAACTGTCGAACTATTAGTCGTCTTTGCACTTGAGTAGTTCAGTTGGCACTCCCCAACACTATGCAAGGTAAATCCCCCAATCTGTCTATGTCTAAACTCTAAGACTATAGACGAGGACCTCCCTCTACTCTCACCACTTACACTGCTCTCCTCTATCTGAGTATGAACAATGCTTCGAGTGTAGGGATAGACATACCAGTTCAAAGCTCCATACAGTTATACAGAACATCAACAACACCCCACATATCACTTTCATCCATCTATCCCCGAGCTGTCCAACTCATACTCAAATTCTACATTTACATTCACAAGCATATTATCACAATAATTTAAACATATCTCATGCATTCACATACTGTCACATAAATCAAATTACAGTATACATTCCAAACATGTTACACATTTAACTCAACCCAAGAGCAAGGAACCTGGAACCGAACACTACTTGCACGAACTCTGTGAGATCAACCATGCTAGGACGAACGCTCAAACCGAACACCATTAGATTGAACACAATTGGCCGAACGCTAAAACCGAACGCCATATTAAACTGNTGGCACTCCCCAACACTATGCAAGGTAAATCCCCCAAATCTGTCTATGTCTAAACTCTAAGACTATAGACGAGGACCTCCCTCTACTCTCACCACTTACACTGCTCTCCTCTATCTGAGTATGAACAGTGCTTCGAGTGTAGGGATAGACATACCAGTTCAAAGCTCCATACAGTTATACAGAACAACATCATCACCCCCACACATCACTTTCAGTCATCTCTCCCTGAGATGTCCTCCTCATATTCATTTACATCATCATACAACATCAACAATGTCATAAAAACAATTCATACATTACATACTTTCACAAAACCATCACTTATTAACACAAATTTCTTTAGGACTTTTAATATTCAATACTTAAGTAATTCAAACAGCTTGGGGACCCTCACCAATGGCTCCGGAAGGGTCAAAAGCCCCAGAACGACCTAAAGAGCGTCCAAAACGGACATCCAAAAAAGACTGAACGCTCAAGATTGACCGATCGCTCAGGATCACTATCCGAGAATACCAAATTAGGACGAACGCTTATAATAACTTTTACCCCAAAACCGAACGCTCGAGATCCGAAATTGTGAATGTCAGATTAAGACCGAACGCTAATTGATCACTAACACATGCCCAAGGACGAACGCTAAAGCTCGCAGAACACCAGACCAAACGCTCATATTGAAACCTAAGAATATTAAATTCAGATAAGACTGAACGCTAATTGATCATTAACACATGCCCAAGGACGAACGCTAAAGCTCGCAGACCACAGGACCGAACGCTCATAACCGGACACCATATTAGATTGAACATAATTGGTCGAACGCTAAAACCGACAATCATAATGGATCGCATAATGTTTGGACGAACGTTTACAGACTGAACCTATCAGGTGGAAAACTGTTTGGGCGAACGTTGACCTATTTAAATTACCATTTTGGGACGAACGTTTACATATTTAAATTTCTATTTGGACGAACGTCACTTTCGAATTCTGCAGAATTTTGCAGAATCACAACCAGAGCTCCTGTTTCATTCCCCTTTTTCCCAGATTTTCATCAGAGAACAGAATATCACATATCCCAACCACAGATTAATATTTCTACGATCTATAGGAACAGCTCCAGCTCCCCTTACCTCACCGTAACCTGAAACAATACGTGTATCCACTCATTATCCATTCTATCTATTTCCCAGAGTTCTTATTTGGTAAACTACTTGTCTAATTTTTTTATCATAGTAGAGATCTTACTTTCCCCCAAATTGGTCACCGGAGAGGGTTCAGATGTCTGAACGCATCAGACTCACCTTCGGCGCTAGCACATATGACTAGTCACAACGTATTGGACCAGGCCAGGGCTGCTCTATGATCAGGGATGTGCCAACTCAGGTTTTTAAGCCCCCTCTATCCTACCAACAAAGAAAGGCTTTTAACAAGTTATGATTTGTCTAATTTATTAGAACTGTCCTACATTGTTCTAGACATCAAATACCCAATTATATATATATATTTATCACCCATCCCCTCACAGTAACCTTAAACAGTACCTCTACACCGACTTATTAATCACATACCCCACATTACGTACTCCAAACCCCTTCAACAAAACAGTACAACCAACCAATATATCCAAGTCAAATCATGTTCAGCACATTATGGTTACACAACTTCCACACATCCAGCAGATACAAATCAATATGCTCACCACAAAATATAACTCAACAGTACATAACAGTTTAAATCAACACACCAATTCAGGACTTAACATGCATATATCTCATAAATTAATTTCACACAAAATAACTAGCTCCCCTTACCTTGAAGATGAGCAGTATATCCTACTGGAGTTCCCTAACAGTACCCTCCACACAGAGCGGAACTTGACAGAACCTACAAATCACCATATTGGTGATAAAACATAGCTCTTAGAGCACAAATAGACAGAGAATGGAAGGAAAACGTACAAGGTACGTGAACCAAGCAAATTCACATACCCTAAGTTCTAGAACAGTGAAAGAGAAGGGGAAAAGGAAACTTACCGGTCGGAACAAGAAATTGTTCTCTGGAAACGAAACCCCCTACTCCACAGACACTTAGGCAGCACCAGAATGAACTTTCTATGGTTCCAGGTTCAGAGTATCTAGAGAGAGGGCAGAGAAAACCTTTAGGGCAAGAGTTTCTTTTTAGAGTGAGAAAGGAAAAATAGAAATGGGGCTTTGGCTTTTGGGGAAAGACCCCTGCCAAGGTCAGATTCCCTTAGTCTGGACCTGGTTGCCTCCATCTAGGCCCAATGGCCTTATAATTTTTTTTTTTCAGGCCCTCACAGAAAACACTCTTTACAATATGTTTATAAAATGTAGAGACTAAATATATTTTAATTTCATTTAAAAATTAAACACAAGTTTTTAAAATGATGTAAATATTAAATATTTTATAATTTAGTTTAAAAATAAACTAAATCCTTTTATAATAATTTAGAAAAAAAATATATTTACCACATTATATAAATATGTGTGAGAAGTTACAGTCTTTTAGATTTATTCAAAATGCAACTTTAAATTTGGGTTCCAAGTTGAATCTAATCAGCTAATAAATTTTACTAGTTTATCTTCACTAAGTTTGATATAATTATTGAAATAATAATTACAAAAAGTAATAAGTAAAGAATCCTGCTCTAAGTATCTAAAGATACTATTTAAAGTGTTATTTAAAATGTAATTAACGATAGTTAATTTTATTATATTTATGTTAAAATATGAAATAATTAATTTTATTATTTAAAATTGATTGTTGAAATATGAAATAACTTTACTAATAATCTAACAAGTTATTAAGAATTCAACGTACCAAACTATTAATTCACCGTGTCACACAGTACATTATCATATAACTCAACAAATTTCAACAATCATTTTATATAATTCCAACATACCAAAACACATTATCAAGTTACTAAAACTTTAGAAATAAAATATTTAACTTTCTTTTGCTTTTTAGAAACTCAAAGGACTCTATGAAAACTAAAACAATCATTTTCATTTAAGGAATTTTAACTATCCATATAAGACACTGAACAGAGAATACAATAAAAACTCATAAAATACATGCAATAAAGTTAAACTCAAGGGCATTGAAAAACATATAAACTAGAGAAAAGAATAAGAACTAACTTACTTTTTTAAAATAATTGATCACAGAAGAAGATCTTGTCATAGTAATTATTTAGGCACACCCTATCTTCAAACAAATAAAAAGTTCTAAGATAACAAAGAGAGATGATATATTTTTATATAGTGAAATTTTTTAATCAAAATTCTATTTATACTTTTCAATTTTTATAATAAAATAAGTGAATTTTATTATTTAAAACATCCTATTATTTTTAATATTCTATTTTCTAAACTTTTATATTCTTGTACGTTTTCTCTTTCTTTTTATAGTTTGTCTTTCATTTTAATGTTGCTAAAAATTAAAATATAATTAAACATAAAAAAATAAACTTAAATTAAAAAATAAAATAAAAATTAGAAAACCGTTGTTTTGTGTTTGAAGAACAATTATAACCTATAAAAAGAAAATTGATATTTTTTTTCTTTAGAAACTCTATTATATGAATTTATATTATTTTAATTAATATGATTATTCATATTTGGAACAACATGAAATGAGGTTCATTAATTATATTTTACAGTGGCCAGACACTGTAAGCATTGGCCATAAAAAAAATTATTAGACAATTTATGATAAGAAGAGAGTGTAAAAAAGTAAAATGTGGATGATGCAGTGTAATTAGATTTGTTATTAAGTGGAAGTGAGAAGTTAATTGAAAGCATGAAGATGAACAACCAATTGTTTTGTTCCAAACATGGAGGAGGGTTCGTTAATCACCGTTAAAACATCGTAATCCATTCAGTGCCGCACGTCATCATCTCATTCATGTTCATGGCTTGGGAATGTCTCACTTTTTGTGTCTCAACTACTTCTTAAAAAAAAAAACCACATTTGTATTCTAACCAACAAAACCAAAAAAAAAAAATCACCACAGAACAGAACACGGGAAGAGAAAGAGCGTGTCTTGGTCGGAAACAATGGCGAGGGAGCTTCTGCCTCGTGACCTATGCATCTATGTCTGCATCTGCATTCTACTCCTTGCCCACCAAAGTTCCTGTTTTTACCTCCCTGGTGTTGCACCTGAGGATTTCTGGAAGGTTATTGCATTTTTTCTGTTCCTTCAAAATCTAATCTTTTTAACCTGATTAGTCTGTGCATTATTATTCCTTTCCCTGTTCAGTTTCACGTTAGATCAGTTATGGATCACGTTGGTTGCATGCTTTCTCTGTCCTATACTTTTTACCTTGCTGGTTGTAGATTCTTGCTTTATTCATTTTCATTTGCCGAGGTGATGAACAATTTAGAATGTGCCATGAGAAATGATCTGGATCAGTGATCAGAAATAGTGAGAGAATCACCATGTTTTGTTGGTTAGTTTATACCGATCATCATTCCATCATGCATTCTTTGACAGATTATTCTCCTAATCAAATCAACGCATTGATGATCACCCAGAGTGACATGGCATGATTTGTTGTAGTTTGTGACATTTATTGATTATCGTGTTGTGTTCAATGGTGACAGGGAGATCCATTGAGGGTGAAAGTGAACAAACTGTCTTCCACAAAAACACAGCTTCCTTATTCATACTATTCACTGCCTTATTGTCGTCCGAAACGCATTGTTGACAGTGCAGAAAATCTGGGAGAAGTTCTTCGGGGTGACCGCATTGAAAATTCACCCTATGTGGTTGGTTTAAATATTTTGGGCAGGTTCTAGCTTTCTACCTTCTGTTTATTACGATTCACAACTGAATATTGAAGCATTTTAATTCTCGCAGTTCAAAATGAGAGAACCGCAGCTGTGCAATATTGCTTGTCGTATAATTCTCGATGACAAAACGGCAAAAGAGTTCAGGGAAATGATAGATGATGAGTATCGGGTGAACATGTGAGGCACTAATGACCCTGAAGCTTATATTATATCTCATGAAAAACATTGTTGTGGAAATAATGTCTCTGACAAAAGGGTATTTTATTATTCTTGCATTGCAGGATTCTAGACAATCTTCCTTTGGTTGTTCCTATAAGAAGGCTTGATCAGGAATCTCCCATGGTGTATCTCCATGGCTTCCTCGTTGGTCTTAAGGGACAGTATTCTGGAGTATGTAGAAGCTAACTGAGTACTCACTGATACTTTGTAACCATTATTTTTATTTCCTCTTAACCTCTTGTAACTGTTGACAGATCAAAGAGGAGAAGTATTTCATCCACAACCACTTAGCATTTGTGGTTAAGTATCACACTGATCAACAGCTAGGATTATCAAGGATTGTAGGATTTGAGGTTAAACCATTCAGGTTGTGTTGTGATTCTTTTCCATGTAGTTTTTTGATAATCTGTTAATTTCACCTTGTACATTGAAACTATTCCTATGAATTCAGCGTAAAGCATGAGTATGAAGGAGAATGGAATGAGAACAAGACCCGCTTAACCACCTGTGATCCCCATGCCAAAAGGCTGGTCACTAGCTCTGAATCTCCCCAAGAGATTAAAAGCAAGAAGGAAGTAATTTTCAGCTATGATGTTGAGTTCGAGGTTAGTTACCACCAGAATTCACAGCACTAGAAGTGCCAGTGAGAATTGGATTCGGATGCTGATTTTATCTTCCTCGGTGGAATTTTTTTATCTTGTAGGCAAGTGATGTGAAGTGGGCATATCGCTGGGATACCTATCTTCTAATGGCGGATGACCAGATTCACTGGTTTTCAATAGTGAACTCTCTGATGATTGTACTTTTTCTTTCGGGCATGGTGGCTATGATAATGTTGCGGACACTGTATCGTGATATCTCAAAGTACAATCAGTTAGAGACACAAGAAGAAGCACAAGAAGAGACAGGGTGGAAACTTGTACATGGGGATGTGTTCAGGCCTCCACAAAACTCAGATTTACTGTGTATATATGTTGGAACAGGAGTTCAGTTTTTCGGAATGATTCTTGTGACCATGATGTTTGCTGCTCTTGGTTTTCTGTCTCCCTCAAACAGAGGAGGTTTGATGACAGCCATGCTCTTGCTGTGGGTGCTAATGGGACTGTTTGCTGGATATACTTCAGGGCGTCTTTATAAGATGTTCAAGGGAACAGATTGGAAGAAAATAGCTTTTGGAACAGCTTTTATATTCCCAGCCAATGCTTTCACAGCATTCTTTGTGCTGAATGCTCTGATTTGGGGGCAGAGGTCTTCTGGGGCAGTGCCATTTCAGACAATGTTTGCTCTTCTTTTGTTATGGTTTGGCATCTCATTTCCACTTGTGTTTGTTGGTGGTTTTGTGGGGTTTAACAAAAAGCCACCAATTGAGGATCCTGTGAAGACAAACAAGATAGCTAGGCAGATTCCAGTGCAGCCTTGGTACATGAATTCGATGTGCTCTATTCTCATAGGAGGCATACTCCCATTTGGTGCAGTTTTCATTGAGCTTTTCTTCATCCTCACATCAATCTGGTTACACCAATTTTATTACATTTTTGGTTTCTTGTTCATTGTGTTTGTCATCCTCATTATAACCTGTGCCGAGATCACAGTTGTGCTATGCTACTTTCAGCTGTGTAGTGAAGACTACAATTGGTGGTGGAGGTCATATCTCACTTCAGGTTCCTCTGCATTCTACCTTTTCCTATATACTGTATTCTACTTCTTCACTAAACTTGAGATCACAAAACCAGTATCTGGAATCTTGTACTTTGGCTACATGATGCTGCTTTCGTATGCTTTCTTTCTGTTGACTGGTACAATTGGTTTCTGTGCATGCTTCTGGTTCACCAGGCTCATCTATTCATCAGTGAAAATTGACTGAACCTTCCCACTTTTAGTGCAATGGTCATAGTTCTAAGTTGAAGCACACAAATTGTAGTATCGAATATCTTGTAGTTCTGATTTTTTGTTTTGTTTTTAAGTCATCCAATGTATCTCTAGTATCCATATTTTGTATTCTTGCATCATACTATTCTCCCTCTCTTCTCACTGTACTTGAATATTATTTTTGTTTTGTAATTTGTACAACACATTCAACTATTGACCAATTATTGGTCCTCAATGCATATCTAGAAAAAAGATTTTCTTTTTGCAAGTACTAGATATTAAATGTGAATTTATTGTTAAGGAATAAAAATATTCCCCACCCTTCTTTTTTGTCAAAAATAAATTTGTTATAAATATTGGTATATGTATGTAATAAGTACTCTACTTGATTGTTGCCTATTGCTTAGAGATTATTACCTATCTCATTGACCCTTCATTATACAACTTAAGACCAAGTTGTGCCAATAAGGGATAACTTTTCAGGTTGGGTTGAACTTAATTTAAGTTGTTTTATCCAACTTAAATTTATTTGAACTGGGTTGAATTGAATTTATTTATTTTTAAATTTATTTGAACTGGGTTGAATTGAATTTAATTATTTTATTTAATAACTCAATACAATTTAATTATAATTAAATTGCGTTGAGTAAACTTGAAAGAATTTAAAAAAAAAAAAACACTTTAGAATATGTACTTTTAATGTTTCTTAATAACTATAAGACAATTGTTTTATGGAATTTCGCATTCTCTTCTTACCTCTTCCTATTACACTAATCTTATAATGACAAAAGCCTTGTACTTTCTAATAAATGCAATGTGAAATATATCTAAAAGTTTTTGTATTACATGTTACATAAACATAATGAAAAAATATACTTCAGAATAAAGAGGTAGACAAATAGTATCTAAAATGTATAATCCATGATAATTTTTTATTATTTTAAATTGATGATTCTCATAAAAGTTTTAATCACAAAATAACGTTTGAAGAATAAAAATATAATAACTTGGACAACGTAAAATTTAAGACAGAGGTTGATTGTGCAAAAGCAAACCAATAACTTCAACAATAAAGTTGAGAACAATATATATCAGTTTACTTGCCAGGTGGCAGGCCTAATATGACAGTTGGCTTTAATGTAATATTATAATTTACATGGTAACAGAGGAAGAGTCATTACAAGGATAGTTGTATAATACACTGTTTTCAACCTTCTTTCACAAATTCAATCACAGTCAAAACAAGCATTTTAAGAGAGTAGTCATACATGAAAATTTTAGTCAGCGTCATCTGCAGAGAAATCAGGCTCTGGGGGTTTCTGAAGTTTCACCAACTCCCTGGCAGTCTTAGCAAGTCGATTACGATGAACGCCACGAAGAGTGTGCGCAGCAAACTTAGAGGCTAACAGGGCAGCACCAAAGCTGTAGGAATTTCCACCACCAGTTTCATGACTTCCCTCTGATTCATCAGCATCTTCTTCCTTTTGACGAAGCTTCATGAGTTTCTTTTTAGAATACCGACGCCATGCTGCTTGAATAAAGCATGCAGCCCAAGTCCTCCATTGCTGGGAGTAAAATCGGAAAGTGTGTTGAACCTGTCTGCTGTGAAGGCGTCTAAATTGACTGGCAACAAATTTTAACTCATCGGCTGTTAAGGCAAAAGCCTCAACCTCCATTAATGCTTTAACTGTTCTAGTGGAAGATGGGAGATTAGAACCAGATTTGGGATCCAGGGCCCAGGTTAATAGCTCCTCCCCACAGAAGTCCGCTTCCTTTAGAAAACTGCGGTTGAAAAATCCACTCCTCCCACCATCTGTGGTAACACTCTCAAGGCGACCACGTATGATGAAAAGCATCTCATCAACTGGATCTCCTTCCCGAACGATGTAAGTATGCTCTGTAAATAAACATGGTTTCAGTCTCTCACAGATGGCATCAAGCAATCTCTCATCCATACTCTCAAATAGTGGAACCTACAAATCCATGAAAACCAATCAATGAATTCACAAACTCAGATGCTCAAAAATAGCTTGATAAGTTCATCTAGGAGAGATCAGGGCCAAAATATCTGAGAGGAACTGCATCATTTAATATAACCTGGTGTGAGACAGTGGATTAAAGAAAGTTATGCTCATGCAAACAACCAAACACACATAACCTGGTGTGATGGTTCAGCTGTAATATAACCATTAACCATAAATATTGAACAGATTACTACAAGTTGGTCCTTAGTTTGTCAGAGAAAAGAGGGTCCTATTTAGTCACATGTTTCAGATAAAGGGCATTCTTGGTGTTAGTTTATTTTCATGTTTTGAAAGCATACCCTCCTCACTAAGGCCAAACAGAGATGACGCTTAATATCTCTTCGAAGATCCTTTGGTAGACTCTGAACTAAATTTTCTTCATCTACACCACGCGTTGCCAGCCACTTATATTGATCATACCGTCTCACACGCTCTCTAAGCTCTTGTGGGAGTAACCGATGATGCATCCACTGTTCTGAATCACGCCTTTTAACTCTCATTTCCTCGAGCCTAATTGTGAGAGACTGAAGATATGTCTGTAATCATGGGAAAGACACAAACCTCAGTATCAATTACAAACAATCTTCTCTTTCATACTTTTATGGACAAACTTCAACGCCATTTATTTGCAAGGCTATTCAGTGATAACAAGAAACAAAATTTAGAAGAAACTTATAATAGCAAATGCTCACGCACATTATCTGTGTCCATGAGAATGTCCACTTGATTTAGTTTCTTATTGCATAACCATTTTTTTTCTTATTGCACAACCATATTAGTTCTTAGATCTCTCTTGACATTAAAAGGATAGTTCTCAACTCCGAAGAACATACTTTGCTTGTCAAGTAAGGAGCATATTAGGCTAGTTAATGCTAACAAATTAAATTTGCATGGAAAAGTCAAGATTAGTTCTCACACTTTCATTTGATACTCATTATTTGTAATATCATGTGTGTGTGAGCTTGCTTCAGTTTACAACATCTTGATGGGTGCCACAAGAGGCAACATGAAATGAAAAAGTTGGTAGAAAAGAATTGTTATCTGAAGAAAAGCACTGGAGCCTTTATTATTATTATAAAAAATTGCTTAAAAGTTTTAAAAAAACCAACTTCAGTTTTCTTATTGATTATTCACACCATGTTACCCCAAACAAAAAAAAAAGAAGAGAAGTACATGAACAAATACATGTCAGACAAATGTCATCAATGCATCATGTCAATAAGTTAAGACAGAAAATTTACCAATAATGCATTTATCTTCAATAATACATGTTAGACAGTGAAAAAGTCAAGTGGCAAGTCAATACTTTCTCTAAGTCAAATAAATGAAGATCATATACCATCTCCAGTGCTCTTACAAAAGAGTAACTAAATTACTAGCAGGGGCTAGCTGCTACATTTTGAACTACTTAATAGCTTTTAAACCCGCCCACACCATACATATTATTGTAAAATTTAATCACTTGGATATCAATATTTTGTGGATAAGCATGAAAATTAGCATTGGGTCATTATTCAACCATTCAAGTATCCAGTATATTTGGCCCAATCAAATACAAGCCCATGGAAACTCTTGCAAGTTCTGAACAAACTGAATGATAAGACTTCCGGCAATTTTATTTTCATGATATGTTAAGCTCGTTGGTTTGAAGTATACCTGCATGTTGCCAATCAGAAGTGCAAAGAGGATGAGACCAAAAATAGCTAGTGCTATTGAAAAGATAACCTCCCCAGGATAGGTGCTAGTTTGAAGCCCCTGGCCAAGTGTACTGCAGTGAAGTCAATCAAAAGTTGGTTTTGGCAAATCAAATGAAGGGACAGAAAGGGAGGAGGGTAGGGGACGGAGAAGACATGGGAACAAATAATTTTCTGTAAAGAAAGGTCAATATCCAAAAATTTCTCAGTATTTGAAAGCAACTAATCAGATGAGTGTTAATATATGCACAAAAACAAATCTTTCCCTTTCTGAACTATAGAATCAGTACCAGTATCTAAAAAGAAAGGTCACGGATTGTATCAGTTATTGTCATTTTCCGTAATATTAGAAAATGGAAGAGGAAAGGTAATGCAACAGTTTCTTTGAGTGACATGGAAACCTCCCACCCTTTTTACACTCGACTTCTACCTGAACAATGCTCATATCCTCTTTTCTTTTCTGTATTAACGGACTCCTGGAACTCCCCAAGTCCCTTGAACTATGGGCAGATTGGCATAAGCCTCTTGTCTTCTCACATTCTTCAGCCTCAGCAACCAGTATATTTCCCTTAATACCCTTCCAACTTCTTTCTATTTACGCCTTTGTGAGAGGAGGGTGGCTAAAACTATTGATGCAAACAAGTATTTCTATAAAACACTTCAGTCCAAGAATGTTCGAACATGGAATTAATAACCTTATATGTCCTAGAAGCTTATTAAAACGATAAATTTCTTGAATCTAGATCAATGGTAAATTTAAAACAAGCTAAAAAGGTCAAATTTTCAGAACAAATCGTAAAAGAGGACAAAACTGTAGGACATATCACTTTCTAGATTCAAAGTAAGAAAACAGTGACCTAGCTGTCAAACTACCTAAAATGATAAAAAATAATAGATATTCTTCAAATGGTATGGTAATGCCTTTAACTGTACTCAATGACAAGGCTAGTAACCTACTTTGAGAAATTAATTTTAGAGTTTTCCTTACAGAACAAAATCAACGTAGTCTGAGAGATGGTTGAACCCTGATTATAAGAAAAAAAAGGTCAACAGTAGCAATGAACAAAGATAATATTTCATAATGAACAACTAATTACTAGAACATACAATTCATCCAGTGGCTTAGCACATATTTAAATTTTCTTTGCATTAGACTTTTCAAACACTCAAACTGCATTTCGATGATAAGAAATAAGGATGAAGGGATTGATACATCCCACCACAAGAATTTACCACCTCATGGGGCCAAGGGGTTGTTCTTTTCTGTTTCAAATATTAAAAGATAAATATATTTTGACAACAAAAAATTATTTTTCGTCAAAAATAGTAGGTACGAAAGTACAATTTTTTTGGCTAATTTTTCTTATTTGTATAATTTTTCACAATTTTTTTCTTTTCTAGTTATCCAAACAAGCAGAAAGAAATTTCTATACTTCTTTCCCTTTTATTTCTTTCTTGCCTGATTCCTTCTTTATTCAAACAGCAGAAGAAAAAGGAATATTCAAGAGGTACAACCCAAATAGAGTTTAATTTATCCAATACCCTTTCTATTACTGATACAGCTATAACCAACAATTTTTCCTTCTAATTTGTTTAAACTAAGAACTTTTTCAAAGACAAAGTAGACATAATTTATCAGTGTATATCAGTGTATAAGGAACAAAATTAATTACCTCAAATTCTGGAGCCCCCACCATAAACAGTAACAGTATTTAGAGATGAATTTCTTAGATGAAATTATGCCAGAAGTCAAGACTTGCGCAAAAATTCCATAATCGAAAGGTGCAGGATCACCTTCTGCAGAGCACGCTGAATTTAGAATATCTTGACTTCTATTATTCCAAGCACTATAACCTTTCATGAGCTGGTTCCCACAATAAAGAAAATTTTTATCGCACAAATTGCCATTGTCACTGCAAGCTTTCTGCCAGCATGAGTCATTGCGTTCAATAGCTAACAAGTACCAAAATGCACCAACTATCTGCAAATGATCATTGGTGGAAAAAGACCCACGATAGCATGAAAAGTGAGATTATAGCTCAAATCGAACAAGGCAGGAATTTTAGTGAATTAAGCATCATGAAAAAAATAAAGCAAAGCTTACATGACTGGCAAGCATGTACAGCAGCAAATAACATGCAGCACCTGCCCATGCAGTTTCAGCAAAGACACCAGCTGTTCTCTTAAGCTCTGAAGTCAATGGTACCATTCGGAGAAATCTAGGAACATACTGAAACAAGATAATGAATAGCAAGGCCTGCTTTGTTGCTAGCACATCTGAACCTTTTGACCTCAGAAGAAATCTCCAAACTACAATCTGAAATCAAGAACAGACCAAAACAAAAGTAGGTGTTGAGTTTTGTTATACTACTTAAAATTGGAGACAATAAAGACCAGCATTAGAGTTATCTACGAAGTGTTTTGAATATATAAACCACTGTCTAGGAAGTTGCAAATTTCAGTGGACACCAAAAGTAGAAATAATTATCTATAATCATAAGCCAAAACAGATCAAATAAATTTAAAGGAAAATCCCTATTTTTAGTAGTTTCAAAACAGGAAAACAAAAAAATACAAGATTGGGGAGCTTTAACATATTAATAATACCAACTCTAGATCCAAACACAAATAAAAAAGGAACGGATGCCAACCAAGATATTATTTTATACTTTTTAGCAATCCAAAGTGAATGCTAACAAGCTACAAACACTTTGAATACAAGAGGGACTTACGTCAGAATATTCAAGCAGCTAAACAAAAAAGTTGACTCAAGATAGAAGCAGTTTTTTTCTGACCTGTGGTATAGGCAACACTGATAGGAAATCAATGATGAAATACCGCTGCAAGTATCTTTTGGCTATCTGTGCAGAATCTATCACAAGCTCACCCCGCCCAAAGACACGAGAAGATGGAGCAATATAAGCAGTACGAAATTGGAGAGCCATGTGCATAAGATAGAAAGCATCAATCACTGTCCTTAATGTTGTAACTATTGTTGCCAACTTTCGGTCTATGCCAAGACAGTGAAACGAATTATTAATGACTGGGAGATAAAAAAACAGTGGATCTATAGACACAGCCAAAATGCACGAGGTAACAAAGAGTTTATTCCATAAAAGCAGGAATTTGTCTTGAGGGTCAAATATCTTCTTTTCAGACACTTTAAGATCTTCTGGGAACACTGCCCTAGATACTCCCAACCCAAGCGATCGCCCAATTGATTTCAGCCCTTCAGATCCCCTTCTCATACCCCTTTTAAAAGACCTTGAAGTCGTGCTGCTTCCATGACCACCATGGCCTAATTTATCAATACTAAATCCAGATTTTATAACTCCAGTATCAGAAGATGAAGATAGTGTAGAATCCAGGGCCTCCAACCTAGAGATTAACATAATGCACAGAAACAGATCACTTTTGTCTGAAACCATAACTAAGTAATTGCATGTCCATAACCAGGAATGTCAAGACCAATTCCAGACCAGAGAAACAAAGGGGAGAAATTAAGAAATAAGAGAATGTTTTGTCATATATCATGAAAGGTGAAAGTCACAATGAGTTGATACCATGATAAACATTAATTCTATTTAAGAAAGCTAAGATCCATGTAAAGCATTTTTAAATTTAAAGTGCAAAGCATTGTAAGTGAGAAACTAGTTTATCTGTGGTTCAACCGGACAGCCATCTAGGAAAATTACACAACAGCAGATTTTCTACTTCTAAAACTGTTACAGTTTACAACTGACTGAATGAGTAGCATAGCATATGGTTCAGTGTTTATATGTCCTTCCACACTCTATTGATGCCAAAAGTTTGGATCATATTAACATAATTTACTCTATAGTCGGAATTTAGAAATTGCTATAACTTACATGAGCTAAGAACATGCAAATAAATACTATTAGAATCACTATCTTCTCCTTCGTATATCTACAATAACTCTACAATTAAAATATATTGGATGGTGATACCTCAAAAAGTTTTCCCGCTGGCCACCCATGTATTCTGACTTGCGACCACAGTCAAACATCATTCAATAGTTATCACATATGCATAACCTGAAGACAAACCAAACAAGATTCAAAACAATGAATAATAAAATTAATATTAGGATCTTCATGTTTAGACTCCAAATGTTCATTACAAGGCTCAGGCTAGAGGTTTCTGATTAAAATCTAGAAAATGTTTAGTTTCAAGAAATGCAATTGCAAAGATTCAAAACTTCTGCGCATGTTTACTTTCTTTGGGAAATAAACCATAAATGTAGATCTACTTTCTAGCAAAGATCGATTGCACCAACCAAATGTACCTAAGGTTATACTTGCGAAAATTTTCATCCTCTAAACCAAATTGCTGTTTACTCTCTAGTTTTTATATAGCATCTCAACATGGTAAAATCAAAGGCTCATACTCAAAAGCTGGCATTAAAGTTCCCTGAAGTACATTCTTTGGATGTTCCACCATTCAGAAATAATCATTTCTATCTCTCCACCTCTATTCCCCCACCTCTAATTTCAAGATTCACAAGCAGATCAATGTCGCAACTATTTCAAGAGATTTAAATAAAGATAGTTCATCCATCAACATTATAATACAGTTATTGGTTGGCAATCAGCCACTAAGCAAAGCCAATAACACAAATTGTAGCGGTGCATAATTAAAATTAATGAGATATGAATTCATAGGAGAATTTCAGGCAATATATATATACACACAGACACACACACGGATGCAGAGTTATTATCTTTTGCTGTTAAACAATGGAGGCAATGGTTAGCCTTCCACGCCTCTATCTATGCTTCGACATATCTTTCCCCACCTCACTGTAAAGTCATCTTCAAAAACCCCGCATAATACAATAAATCAAGAGAAAAAGTCGGTTATGAACCGAGAATGGACGGCAACCGACGACCAAAATTTTGCCGCCGGTGATGAATTCGCGTCAACGCTCATAACTAGAAGTTGAAGTAAAAATCATCAAAAAGAATAACAGAAAAAACTAGCAAAAAAAAAATCTCTTTCTCGAGTCCTTATCTTATCAACAAAAAATAAGATTCCTAAATTTTCTCCGCCTAACCAAAATTCGCGGTAGGGTTAACTGTGGACGAAGTTCAAGTTCTACCAAGAGCAAGTACAGCATCAACCTCCACAACTCTCTCCGACCAATATTCAAATCAAAATTCCATCGACAAGCCGCAACTCGAAGCTAATTTACAGATTAGAAATTGGAAAGATGGTTCCATTAATACAGAGCAGAAATAGTAGAAAAATAAAAAGGTAACTGACCTGATGTGAGACAAATGGCGATGTTGAAAGAAAGAAGAAGATGGAGTCAGAGGAAGATTGCACTTATGGCAGAATCTCTTCTCTGAGACCGAGTCGCTGTCATCACAGAAAAAAGGAAAGAGGAAGGAACGCAGCCAGAAACAAAAAGAAAAATTGTCAAATTATATTGAAAATAAAAACACTGTAATAACCGGTAATTCAGCCGATAACGTGTGAAAACAAAATTTAACAAAAAATATATTAAAATTATGCAAATTAATGTTGCATTATTCGTTTGTCAAATTGTATTTTTCTCATTTAAAGAAATATTAAAATTTCTTATAGTCAACTGTATTCATCGTACAATCTAAGATTTACTATAACTAGATTAATTAACAACACTTGGTAATAATTCTTTTTCATCTTTGAGTAATTACAAATACTTATTAAGTGGCCAGAAATATTATTTTATTAATATCATAACTCTTATTTAGTGGATCACTAATTTTTGCTAAATAACTCGCACATGAACTATTATCATTTATATCTCAGTGCCTAACAATACAAAACTGAGTGATTGATATTGCTAAGATTTTATTGTCAACAACAGTATTAATCTCTGATCTCATTGATTAATTAATAACAATAATTGTGTTACATTCACCTAAAACATTTCTTCCTATTTTTTAAACCTTTTTAATTTTTCAAATTTCTAAATTGCATTCCTGGGTAATTTGTTTTTCAAAATTAAATATTTCTTTGGATAATTGAAATTTTTGCACTGCTAAAAGTAAAACAAACCAAAAGTGAAAATTTCTGTATAGCTTTTTTTTTTTATATTTATTACATATTTATAACTTAACAGTTAGTAATATTTCCTTAACTCGACGTTTTATTATAAATGAAGTTTTATTAAGAATTATGAAAAAAAAAATCAGTGAATAAAAATATTATTTTTAACAAATTTTCATTTAATAATTGAAAACATTTCTCAAAACATGTTAGAAACCATGTAACAATCTTACACCACTAAAGTGGAATTTATTTAATGCAATCCTCTTGTAAGAATTTTATGAGATTTTTATTTAATACTTTTCATTTATATCTCAACTTTTTAGAACTTAAAAAAGTATTTAATTACTGTATTACTTTTAATTACATAACAAAATGATTTCACATAAATAAAAATGATAATATGAAATAAACTAATTGAGTATTACAGTTAAATTTTAAACTTTTGAAAAATAACAATATACAAACTTATGTTAAAAAAAATTAACATTCTAATTCAATGTCCGTTTGTGTGTTAAAGATGTATCCTCTTTTATAGATTTGATATAGTAAATACAAAATGAGAATGATTTGGTATTAAAAGTTGAGATGTTTTCATCATCATTGTTACATTCAAAACTGGTATTATATATAAATGTATTTTTTGTATAATGGCAATCATTGATATAATATTATCGCTATATAAAATTTCATAAAAAAATATATATATTAAATTTAAATGAACAAATTTAATTGTTTCTCTTTAAAGTTCTTTAATTAACATTCATAATTAACATTTTGTTCTTTGTATTAAAACGTCACGTGCTAACATTACTTTTTGGAGACCTAATTTGTCCAACAATCGGAAAAAGTCAAATGGCAAATTTGTAATACTTTTCTTCTTGTTCAGTGGCAAACACGTTGGTGTTATTATAAGAATAGAAAATAATATTGCTACCTTAAATTTATACAAGAACATTTATAGTACTTTAGATAATTTTCACATTCATTCTTAATTACAGATATTGTTTAAGAAACTTGTAACGTAAATATTCGAGTGAGTCCAAGTTTTAATTAAAAAGCATATAAAGACAAAGTATTAATTGTACTTAAAACATAATAATAACTACATGTGTTAAAAAAACAATGAAAATGATGAGTGATAATTGGTGATATCTAATTACGAGGACGAGTGTTGTCGGGATTGGCCATTCCAGAAGCAACCTTAGCAACATCAACAGCTGATGCTTCAGGCTTCTTGTTGGAGTACAAAACCAAGTAACCTAACACAGAGATTGCTGCAAACCCTCCAATCGCCATTTTCATGGGACACCGAGGCATTTTCTTACGTTGGTGAAGTACCTCTGTCGAATGTTGCTGAGGTGCAGAAGCAGAAGAAGAAGAAGAAGAAGACCCCCCTTTCACTGTTTCAGCTTTTGCCATTTTTGTTTTCTCTTTCTCCTTGTTTCTAGTCTGTGACTTTTATTATATATCTTTCTCCTTGACTCTTACTCTTTGCTAATCTATTTACCTGATTTGTGTGTAATTTATGGATTATGGTTGAAGAGAGAGAAGAATGTGGGAGTGGTAAGAAGGAATTGAAGGCGGAAAACAATGTGTTGTCTGCAGGTGGCGGCTTTTTATCAAACACGTACTGTGCTTCACCTTCAAGATTACTTTCAAAGTGTGTTAATTGACAAGGTCAAACAACAACCTCTGTCTGACCTTAATTTTCTACCCAGCTTTCAAGTATATAATTGGGCCATGGTTCAATGAATTAGACAAAAAAAAAATTATCTTTCAAAAATATTATTTATTAATTTTTAGTGATGATTGTAAATTAAAAATCCACTTCTCTCCCTTCATCTCATGTTTCGTTTTTTTTTTCTTTCAAAACTTTTCCTTAAAATCATCATAAATCACTTAAACTTAATACACAAATTCCCTCAAATCCTCGTAAATAGTAAATTATTTCTGCCAAACGAAGCAAAGGGGAACCGTGTCTCCCTTTCCAGACAATTATATATATATATATATA